GCGAGGAGAGGGAAAGAGGATGAGGAGAAGGAGGAAAACGAGGGGGAGGAGGAGAGCGAACGGAATTGGTCAGCGGGAGGAGGATGAGGAGTACGAGGATGAGATTGGGGAGGAGAAGTGGAGTGTGAGTGTATATGGGTGTGCGCCTGAGTGTGAGGGTGTATGAGCTTAAGCTTATAAGAGTGTAAGTGGTCTGTTTGTGAACGGGTCTGTGTGCGTCGATGCCCACCCAGCAACGATGCCCAGGCGAATGATCTTGATCAGGGAGAAAATGTGGAGGGGAGCGAGGAGGGGGAAAGAGGATGAGGAGAAGGAGGAAAACGAGGGGAAGGAGGAGAGCGAACGGAATTGGGTAGCGGGAGGAGGATGAGGAGAACGAGAATGAGAGGGCGGAGGAGAAGTGGAGTGCGAATGTATATGGGTGCGCGCCTGAGTGTGACTGTGTATGAGCTTAAGCTTCTAGGAGTGCGAGTGGTCTGTGTGTGAATAGGTCGGTGTGCTATTGAGTTTGTTGCTGCTTGAGTCTGGGTGTGAGTGAGTCTGAGTGCGGATGAGTCTGAGTATGAGGTATGAGTGAGTGCGAGTGTGGGGGAGTCTGAGTGTGAGTGCAGGTCGGGCCTTGAATCTGGAGTTTGAGTGCGTCCTGGACCGAGTTCCAGCGGTCCCAGGGCCCGAAAATCGGCTTCCATATGGCCTCACCTGACTCGCCGGACTCACCGGACTCACCGGACTCACCGGACCCACCGGCACCAGCGGAGGAGGCACCGGACTCACAGGACCCGCCGGACCCACCAGACTCGCCGGACTCACCAGACTCCCCGGACCCGCCCGACTCACCGGATTCGCCAGACCCATTGGACCCACCGGATCCACCAGCAGCGCCAGATTCGGCCGGGCCCATTGGACTGGAGCAGCAGGGTGCACCATCCTCCGTGTGGCTGTTGATATCGAAATGCCTGGAAGGCATTCGTGGATACAAGAGGCCGCAGACGGTGGGCCATTTCAGCTCAACCCGAGGTCCGTCACCACACTCCGCTTCAGATGCTACGCTGGACAAGCAGGATTACTTCGACTCTCCTACCTCGGCCTGCCAGAGGCCGAAGAGGGCAGCCAAGAAGTTCGATGCGGATGACGTCGATCAGTGCGTCGACATCGCGTCTGAGTACAGCAAAGTGTGCCGCGCGAGAGGCACATGCCGCTCGATCAAGCATATCAACACGCTGAGGCATCTCCGCAGTTGCGATTTTTTTCACCACGATGACTGCAAGGGAATTGCTTGTTGTATCTTAGAACGGCACATAATGACTTTTGTATTTCATATTTCATTCAACCATTTCATTTTCATCGACAGCGGTGAAACCTCCGCAGTACTGAAGATTGCGACTCCCTTGGCCGCGAAGGCGGGATGTCATCCAGCATTTCAGGTGATCTGTAGGACTCGTGCAGTATAGCAGTGCAGAAGGATAGAGAAACGCAGTTCCTGTCGAGACGCGTTTTCCAATTTCATAGCGAATGCAAGTCCCACGACGTGGGATAAGTGGGTGGGGAAGTACTGTATAGTTAGCGGTCCCCCAGAAACAATCCAGCACAGAAGTAACAATCCCACGAAGTGGGATAGCATGTTTCTCGGAATTGTGAGCGAGAGTCATCTGCAGCCTTCTGCTCGAGCCCTGCTAGGAAAGAGTACAATCTTTGTGTGGAGGAAGAAAGGATCAGCCCTGAGGCGGGATTTCGCTGGCAATGCGACTTCTGGGCTGAGGACATTGCGAAACGAGGTTTTCGCCTCCGCCCGGCAGCGAAGCCAGATGTTTTGGAGCAGGTCGAGCGAGCCACTTGGATTTCGAGGGCTGTACTTGCGCTGGCCACCAAACTTCTCCCGAAGTGGCCGTGCCTGGACCAGTCGGGTGCTCAGTGTATCCGCCCTGAGCAGCTGGTCCATTGCTAGACCTGGGCTGGAAAGTTGTTGGAAGTGTTCGGCGTGTCTCAGGGGTAAGCGCGGCGTGGGCCGCCCTGCCTCTTCTCTTTGTTCGGTTTTGCCGCGGTTGAGCCCTCAGCTTCTCCAGCAGCACCGACTCAGATGTGCGGTAGTGAGTTGCACGTGTGGTTCCGTTCTCCGTGTTTGCCTCTTTTGCAATCGCTACAGCACGAGAGGAGGCAGGATTAAGAAACTAGGTGAAGATTGTTCGGGCCACGAAACGCCTGGAGCAGGTCGCAACGCGAGGAAGTTCTTCAGAGAAGGCCGCCGCCCTCTGGCTCAGAAGCGGGCGTCTCAGAAGCGGGCGAAGAATGTGCAGTTTCTTCCCTCGCCATGGACGGCCCCTTTTGTGGTACGGCTCTCCCCCTCCAGATACAGCTTTCGGCATTGCTGGACCAGGGGAGGCTCCAGCTGGGTCGGCTGCCGTTTCCTCGACCACTGGAGTGGATCAAACGGAGCTCTTCCGCCGCCGTCTCTAGGGAGAAGAGCGCCAGGCGGTATCTCGGTTGAACCGTGCCAGTGCAGGGAGCTCAGACGAACCTCGCTTGGAGGCAAAAGTCTGGGCCCTCGTGGTCCACTGACGACAGGGTCATTAGAAAGTTGATGTTAAGAAACGGAAGACCCCGTTGCCCGGACTCAAAGCAGGCGGTGCAGGCGCCATGTGAGCGACGAAGGAAGACAGGGTCTATGGCGCCGACATGAGCGCGTAAGCCGCCCGTGTAAGCTCGCACGTGAGCGCCCTCGTTTTCAATGCAGCGTGCCGCGCCAGCGGCCCGCGTAAGCCGCGGCGTAAGGTCGCTACGTCATTTCGCGTGAGACCCGCTTCCGATCTTTGCTCAGGCTCTCCGATATCTGGTGCGGCGCTTCGCGCGTGCACGGGAGAATCCGAGTGTGCTTGGCACGCAGCAGCAGAGGTAACGTCGGTGTGGTTTTGGTTTTGGATGCTAGGCTTCCAAGCGTTCTCGTCAGTTCTCGGTGCTTCGGGGTGCTTTCCAGCAGCTGCGTCTCGCCGGGAACGTTCCAGGGGTGCCTGAATCGGATGGAACGTCCGCGGGAGTGGAGTTGTGGCCCAAAGACCAGGGGTCAACGTTAAAGGGGGATCGCCCAAGCATCGCCGACGGGCCTGGTAACCCCCCCCGTGCCCAGGAGAGTGTGGATTCGCTGTCGGGGGCCTGTCGCCGATCGATCGGCGACGTTCAGCCACGCGCAGAGAGGGGTCGGGGGACGGAGGAAGCCTTCTTAGAAATACCCCTGCTTCCTGAAAGGCGCGGGCCCTGTATATGGATGTGAGGCTGGCGCCTTCTAAGAAGCGCCTCCATCTAAGAAGCCTTCCCCTTTCCCCCCCTTGTGCGCGCCGGCAAGACGTACAGTCGACCCGCAGGATAAGGATTGGCAATTCTCCAAAGGGTACCCTTGCATCCTTCCCTCCTCGGTCTTTGCCACTTTCGTTGGCCGCGCCGCGCTCGAAAAGCTTCGACATGGCCTTCCAAGGCCCCTGCATCCTTATCGCGCATCCTTATGATACGGGTTGACTGTACCACCGATGCCAGGCCGATGCTTTTCCCTCTGGGCCGGCCCCCCTTTGGCGTTGCCCTTCCGCCCCGCAGCAGCCGGGTGGGGGCAGCCCCGGCCGCTTCTTGACCCGCAGCCCGGGTGTTCGCCGCGCCAGCAGAAGTCCCAGGGCGCCCAGGCGCCCAGGCAGAGGCCAGGGGTCGAGCAGGGGATGGACTGCAGAATCGATTTGCCCCCGCGCTGGTTTCGTCTCGGCGGCGAGCGGGGGGGGGAAGTGGGAGGGAGAAGGCCTTCTCAGAAGGCGGTGGGACTTCTCCGAAACCCTCTCGCATTCTGGGTTATTTTTTTCTGTCCTTGGGGAAGGCTCAGGAAACTTCTCAGAAGCCAAGGGGACTTCCGAGTCTTCTGAGAAGGCCCGCCCCTTCTCATTTCCCCCCCTCGTTCGCCGCCAACAGTCGTCGAATCTACGAACAACATGTCGGATGTTCGTAGATATACGAGCGTTTTTCGCCTTTGTCGGAGGCTCGACGAGACATTCACTGCTGGGGTGACTCAGTTCTGGGTAGTCGATCCTCTACTCGGGGGGGGGGGGGCGAGGCGGGGAGCGGAGGTGGCTCAGCACTGGTTCCGGCGGGCAACAAGAAGGGGGGGGGGCGTGAGAAAGGGCCCCCTTCGTCGCCGCGGCTGGACGCGTCTCGAAACGCTCATCGGTCTCGGCCTTTGGAGGGGCCCGAGGACGGATTCTGGGTGGACCTGCCCTCGTCGCCCCCCCCTTTCTGACGGGCCTTCTTCTCGGAACCCATCTTTCCAGCGCGGACCTCCCGCCCGCTTCCCAGGCGAGGCTCCTTCCTCTCGGACCGCAGCCCGAGCCGCCTCCCTGACCGGAGCACGCGGGCACGAGATGCCGAGCAGGAGCCGGGCAGCTCTCGGTCGTCGCCCGGGCAGGCCGCCTTGCTGGAAGCCAGGGGGCGCCGTGTGCCTGAGCGGCAGCCGGAGTGGTTCCGCCGAGGCCACCTGGGCCGTGGCCCAGGCGCTGCATGGCTCCAGTGCTGTTTTGCCAAACTTGGCGTCTCGTCCACGGCTACGGGCCGCGCTGGCGATACACATCCCATGTCTCGTGAAGCAAAAGTGCCACGTGTGCAGGATTGTCGGCCGCATTCATCTGCAGCACACCACAGCCCGCTCCAGAACAACCGTACAATATTATTGTGCGCTCGTGACCTTGGAAAAAGCTACAGCAGAGTATTGCTTCTGAGGACTCTGATCCACGACCTCTGGCTCCAGCTGACGCCTTTCTACTCCTCCCTCGTCCGTCTCTCCTCCCCCTCGAGAGCGGCCACATACTCGCGGGCGGGATGCGAGCGGGATGGGCAACCTGTGAGACCCACTTGGTGGCCCGATGAATCCACCCGCCCGTCCTCCTCCACAAGCCAGGGCTCGTGGCTCGAGCTGGTCGGCGGGCGGCTCGCGGGAAGAGCGGGGGCGAGAGGCGCGCCGCGCGCCGCCGCGCGAGGTGAATCTGCACCTGCTATCCACGGAGTCCCGCGAGGGGGGGGAAGCGGGGCCTCCGCTCAGCGTGATGCTCGCCTCGCGCAGCTCCTCTGGGCCACTGGTGGCGCTTCCGACGCCACGTCTGGGCGCGGCCTGAAACACAGACGGGGGCCGGCGTCTTGGAGGAGCAGGGGTGCCCGTTTTGGGCAGGCTCTTGCTGGGAGGAAGGGCATGCACGCCTTGTGCCCCACATCTTGAGTAGAGCTCTTGCTTCATCGATCATCGACCAGAGCATTTGCACACACACACACACATATGTTAGCCAACTTGGACCCGAAACAGTGTTTTTTGTAACATATGCGGTGCAATCTAGGTGATGCAGTCCATGTGGTGCAATCTATGTGTATCAATACATGTGGTGCGACAGACGTATACATGTATCTTTATATATGTATATATATACATGTATGTATGCATGCATGCATGCAATAATGTATGTATACATGTATGTATGTATGTATATATATATATGTGTCAAGCAGTGCAGAGCATTTCGACGCAATGCAAGGCACTGCCCAACAATGCAAAGCAACGCAAAGCAAGGCAACGTAATGCAAAGCAATGCCAACAATATATTGCAATGTGTACCACTGCAAAGCGTTGCAACGCAAAGCAAATCAACGCGATGCAAAGCAATACTTTGCATCGCAAAAGCAACTTAATGCAACGCAGTGCAACACTATGGAAAGCATTGCACAGCAACGCAAAGCAATGCAAGCAACTGCACAGCAACTCAGAGCAATGCAATGCAACGCAATGCAAAGCAATGCAAAGCAATGCAAAGCAATGCAACAAAGCAATGCAAAGCGATGCACAGCAAGCAAAGCAATGCAAATCAAGACAAAGCAATGAAAAACAATGCAAAGCGATGCAACGAAATGCACAGTTGATTATATGCATGCAGCGCAAGGCAGAGTAAAGCAAGGAAATGTGAAGCAATGCAGAGCAATGCAACTCAATAAAACATAATGCAAAGCGTTGCAACGCAATGGAAAGCAATGTAAAGCAATGCAAAACCATGCAACGCGATGCATTGTAAAGCAATGCAACGCAATGCAAAACAATGCAAAGCAATGTAGTGTGATGCAAAGCAAGGCAGAGATGCAAAGCAGTGCAAACCAAGCAATTGCAATGCAATGCCATTGCAATTCAATGCGATTGCAATTCAATGCGATTGTACTACACTTTGATTGCAACGCAATGCAATGCGACTGCAAGACAACGCGTTTGCAATGCGATCGCAATGCGATTGAATTGCAACGGGCGGGGGTGGGCGGCGGCGACGGGGCGGTGACGGTGCGGCGACGGCGACCACGAGGCAGAGGATTCCACAACGGAGCCCAGACGGCCCTCGGCGACGGGCGACCATGAGGCGGCGGAGCCGACAACAGAGCCAAGACGACTGGCGGCGACGAGGCGGCGACGGGACGGCGACGGCGACCACCAGGCTGCAGACCCCACAACGGAGTCCAGTTCCTTCGAGCACAGGTAAGAAACCCTTAGTTCAAGCACTGTCTGGGCATTGTCTGTGTGTGTATGTGTGTGTGTGTGTGTGTGTATATATCCATTCAAATAAATCCGAAAGATGCTTTGTGCGTTTGCGTGGGCCCCCGGTCCCCGGAGCCCTCAGAGAACCCCGAAACGGCTCCGGAGGGCCCCCGGAGGGGCCCGAAACGGCACCGGAGCTCCCCAGAAGAGCCCCGAGACGGCCCATGGAGGCCCCGAGACGACCACAGACGACTTTTAGGCGGTCCAAGCAAGATGTTCTCCAGACGTCCCCATGAGCCCCAAATACGCCCCCGGACGGCTCCAGGCGGGTCCAAGGGGTCCCCCGAAAAGGCTCCATCAAGCAAAAATCGTCACAGCCCCTTCGGAAAATTGGCATTTTCAGCAGATTCGGCTTATTGGTTTTCGAAGCGTCCAAAGCGGCCCCAGAGGCCTCCAAGATCGCCTAAGACGGCCCCCAAGAGGGCCCAAAGATGGCTCCAGACGGGCCCAGGACGGCCCAAGAGGCGCCCAAGACGTTCCAAGAGGACCCCACGAGAGGCCCAAGACGGGCCCAGGACAGCCCCGAGACGGCCTATGGAGGCTCGGAGACGACCTCAGGCGGCCCAAGATGCTCTCCAGACGGCCCCATGACCCCCAAAGACGCCCCCGGACGGTTCGAGGCGGGTCCAAGGGGTTCCCCGAAAGGGTTCTTTCAAGCTAAAATCGTCACATTCCCTTCGGAAAATTGTCATTTTCAGCAGATTCGGCTCATTGCATTTCGAAGCGTCCACAACGGCCCTAGAGGCTTCCAAGATCGCCCAAGACGGCCCCCGAGAGGGCCCAAAGATGGCTCCAGACGGGCCCAGGACGGCCAAAGAGGCGCCCAAGACGACCCAAGAGGACCCACGAGAGGCCCAAGAGGGGCTCAGGACAGCCCACGATGGCCCCAAGACGGCCCGATAGGCGCCCAAGATGGCCCAAGACGGCCCCAAGACGGCCCACGAGGCGCCCTGCCGGCCCAGGCCAGGAGGGCTCTGAGAAGTCCCCGAGGAGCCCAAAACAGCCCCCATAGAGCTCCCAAACGGCTCCCAAGAAGCTTCAAAATTGCTTCCAACAGAAGGGGGCGGACGAGAGGCGAGAGGCCCCTCGCAGGCGCAAAACAAATGTTTTGACGCTCCAGTGGCCCTGGGGCTGCCCCACTGCGCTCCCTACTTTGCCGCGACGCCGTTCCGACGCCTCCGACGCGGCCCGAGACGGCGCCGCGTTTGCCCGAACCCGCTCCCGCGTCCGCCGCGATCCTGGCGCGAATCTTCCAACGTTGCTCAGGCCTGGACTCCTGAGTTTCTGCCTCTTGCGAAGCTCGAACACTTCGGCCCCCGTTTCGATGCATTGGGCGCCTGCGGTGGGGGAACAGCACTAGGACAAGCTTCAAGGGATCTACGGTAGTAGCTGGCAGCGTCGCACCACCCAGCGCGCGCCACCATGCTTCGATCCGCCCAATTTCGTGTATGTCATCCACGGGTCCACACTAGTATATGTATATGTATATGTTTATGTATATGTATATGTATATGTATATGTATATGTATATGTATATGTATATATATATGTATATGTATATGTATATGTATATGCATATGTATATGTATATGTATATATATATGTACATATACCCATATATATATATGTATGCATATGTGTATATACATATAAATGTATATATATATATATATATATATATATATATATCGCCCCCCTGGGGCCCGCCTACTCCGCGACCATTTTTGGCAAATCCCTGGTACCACCCTCCCAGGCGCCCAAGAGAGCCCCGGGAGAGCCTGGGACGACCCAGGACGCCCCCGAGACAACCCAAGAGTGCTCCAAGACTGTGCAAGCCAGCCCGAGGCTACACCCACGTTTCTGTTGCAGACAGCAGGTGGGAAAAGCACAAAGAACGGGCAAGGGGGAGCCTAATGTCACGTGATATCCCAGGGTTTCCGAGCAACCTGTGCGTGAGGGGGTAGTACGCAGCAAGGCACTTGGAAGCCTTCGCTTTGGCATCGAGCAAGGCGGAACCACAGGAGGTCCGCACCGTACCGACGTGCTTATATGCGTTGGTGACAAAACTCGTTTGTCACCTGACGGAGTTGTCAAACATGGCGTTTTCGTGATGATGATGGTGACGATGATGCTGTTGCGGATGATAATGATGATGCTGCTGCTGATGATGATGATGCTGATGCTGAGGTTGCTGCTGCTGCTGATGATGATGCTGATGCTCCTGCTGATGATGATGCTGATGCTGCTGATGATTATGATGATGCTGCTGCTGATGATGATGACGATGATGATGACGATGATGGTGATGATGATAAGGATGATGCCGATGCTGATGATGATGATGATGCTGATGAAGTAAATATGCTCCTCTCCGCCTCATACTCAATTAGAACTTAACTTAGCTGGCATGCAATGCGCTGTCCCGCGTGAACTGAAGCTGCGTTTCTGCAGCTGTATAACTGCTCAAACCAGCCGACCTCGGCTGGCAGGAGAGAAAAGGAGCGCGCTGGGGCGCGCGGGCGATTCGTCGTCGTCCGTCCTCGGCCTTCCTCCTCCCTTCTTATTCCTGATAGAGTGGTTTAGCTTAACGGATATCTGTCTTATCAATGTCTCATCCCGCCTCCGCTCTCCCTGGGCAGAGTGAACATGAGATCTTAATTCCTTTGTCATCTTACCCCGATTCTCAGAGGAAAGACTGGTTATCAGCCGAAGCGCGACTCAGTCGACGCGGGGCCATTAGATACAAAAGAAGATCTTTCAGTCGTGCCCCGCGATTCAGTCGCTGCGGGAGAGAGCTATGATAAGACAAATATTGTGTCTAATATCTCGAGAAGCGCTGATGGGCGCGTTGAACAACATGATGGACACGATACAGATAGAGTCGGTCCTATTCAAGACCGAATCCCTCCTTCAACTATCGTCGGTCGGGTCATGAGGGGGAGAAGTACCGATGGGATATCAAGGCTGAGTGCCAAATCGACGGAGTCGATAAGTCCCATCCAGAATGCTCCACGAGCTACTGCCATTGCCACTGGCGAAGCCAGCCGGCCAGGGGAAGCCCAAGGGAATCCGAATGCGTATCCTAATACCCCCGTAGAATGGGTGGGTATGCATGTTACTGCCCCAACCCTTATAGCACTTAACGGACAATTCGGTCAGGATAGCGATGATCCGATCGACAAAGATCACGACATATATTCCATGGGGGAAAATTTTGACAGTATTAATAATGATATTTCCCTGAGCCGAGCGTTGTCCGTGATGATGGATGAAGGCGTCTCTGCTCGAGACGGAAGTTGGTCTCCAGATGGATCCGATGCAGACACTAGTATCCTGACGCCTCAGGCGGACAGGACGGATACTCAAACGAAACATTAGAGGGAGTCCATTGGGCGAACTCCTGCGCCTAACTTCAAGAAACAACGGAATGAGGACTATGAGCTAAACGTCTCGCCGTTAAAGGAAGGCTTCTTCCGTAATGCCGTCACCTCAGGTGAGTGGCAACCCACTATTCCGGCTGTTGTTGAGGACGAAGAAATGGTCGGACAACAAGATATATATTCTCAGCTAATCAAACGAGACGAAAAGGATGAGGAGCTCTTACATGCGCCCAAACCACCATAAAGTACTTTTACTCGC